AGAGATTTAACTTGATTTAATTTCTTCGAATTATAATCTGATCAAGTCTAGTGTTTGACACTGTGTCCTTAAGACGATTCGTCCTCTCCACGGTTATTTTCAAAAATTGACGTCTATCTCCAGGATGAAATGATCTACTACAAACAATAGCAACACTACAAAATTGTTTGCCTTACGAACACACTAAGTGTTTACACTCTTTCTTTCAGAAAATAAAATGCAGCAAAATGCAGAGATTTATATCGAGGATGGAGTACGAAAAATCGAGTTGAAATCCAAATGGGAGCTAGTCTATTTATAGATGTAAAGGTGGCTATTGGTTTTGAATTGAACAGGTATGAAACCTGTTGTTTTGAATTCAAATAGATTTGAATCTGTTGGTTTATATTTCAAAACAAGATGAACAAAACGGAAGGGCACTGTTTGGGTGTGCAATAATACTAGACTAGTTATTCGGGAAGGGCCCTGCTTGGATGTACCGTAAAACCAAAACAGTTAATTTGAATTATGGATTTTATTTTAAACCAAAAAATAAAATAAAATTCATATTTTTGGCCCAAAAAGATTAGTATAGGCCGAAACAAGCCAATCCAACCTCACACCACGCACCCGCGCCAAAGCCAGGCCCGGCCAGCCCAGCCCGCCAACCGACGGACGGCGGCGCGCGTGTGTGGTGATTTTGGGTCCAATGGTCTAGCCCATTTTGCCCATAACCTCTCCTTCTAAAACACTTGGGTAACCCTTGGGCACCCCTAGTACCAAACTCAAGCCTTATAAACCCATTCAAAACCTCCCACCAAATCAATGGTGGACAAGCCATTTTACAACCTTAAGGAATTTTCACCAAAATCCATTTCCATGGAGCCACTTTGGCTTCAATTTCCATTCACTCGGTAATGGTTTTGAGCAACCAAATATACCACGTGAATCACAACGCAGCATAGAACGCGTTACTACTTGACCCGTGAAAAATTGACGCACGGGCCCACCTAAAAATAGACCGAACTTAGGATAAAATTATGATTTTACCCAGAATTTATAACTATTTCAACAATCCCCACATGAATGGAATTTGATGACAACGGAAATGCAACAATATGCAGATTTATCGAAATGAGTATAAGTCGAAAATATCTTGCATCAGGATAGGTAGTTTTCGGCCTTGAACCTTCCTAAGTGATAACCTATCGACTTACTGGCTAACCAAATGGACGCGATGCCTTGAATTGATTCAGCTGTTTGCGTAAAACCAAGAACATAGATTTCACACAAAATATTTTCTAACACATCGTGGTTCTCACTGTTGTGTTCAATTTTGGCCTTGAACACGCTTGTTTTCATAATGTTTCTAGAGATTTAGCCTCTTCATCTCATAGAATCGGCCCCAGTTCAACACTCATATAGGTGATTCTTATTGTGAGTATCTCCTTATACTCTCTTGATTTATGCCTCAATCAAGATATAAGTAATCATTAAAAGCAAAGCTTATCCTTATACCCTTGCATACAACATATGTTGCAGATATCACTCTCACCATAGGAATGGGAGGGAATTTTAATCCTTTGGTGATTTCTAGCGAGCCATACATAATTTAGTTGTTCCTTTGAACTTAGTTCTTTGGGATCTCCAGTCATATAAGTAGGGTTACCATTATGACGACTCTTATGTAATAGGCTTTAATCCCATCCCCTTCGATGAACTATACACTAGCTCTTTTGTCAAACTTTTGTTAATGATCCGCAATATTCTCTTTAAGATTTTATATAATCTATTGAGATTATCCTCCGTTACAACAATTACCTTACGGTATTATGTCGACGATGAATATGTCGTGACTTACCCGTTATACATATGATTCTGTGCCCTGCCTATTGCAGATTGACTATCACAATGAATGCAAAAGCTGGCACGGGTTTTGGCCACATTGGAATGTCTTCTAAGAAGTGACGAAGACATTCTGCTTCTTCTCTCCTGCTTTGTCCAAAGCAATGAAACTCGGATTCCATGTGGATTGTGCGATGCAAGTTTGTTTCGTGGATTTCCAGAAACAGCAGCGCCTCCTAGAGTAAAGACATATCCACTTGTGAATTTTGAATCTTTAGTATCCGATATCCAATTTGCAGCACAAATACCTTCAAGTACTGCTGGATATCGAGTAAAGTTCAACCAAGATCACGGGTGAATCTTAGATTCTAAGAACCCGAATGATCGCTTTCCAATGGTCTTCTCGGGGTTACTAAGTGGTATCCTACTCATTTACTGATAGCATAAGCTATATTAGGACGAGTACAATTCATTAGGTACATTAGGCTTCAATGATTTGGGAGTATTTTAACTGAGACACTGCATCACCTTTATTTTCCGATAAATAAAGACCGATGTCTAAGGTGTTCTAGCTAAATTCAAATCATCCTTGATAAATTTATCAAGAATTTTCTCAAATATAATGAGATTGAATAATGCATATCCGTCAGATGTTTTAGTAATTTTCATTCCTAATATTACATCTGCGACCCCATATCTTTTCATATCAAATCTTTTATTAAGCATTTGCTTAGTTGATTTGATCATGTTTTGACTGCTTTCAATGATAAGCATGTCATCCACATAAAGACAAACTATGACATATCCTTGGTCAGTGTTTTTAACATAGACGCATTTGTCACATTCGTTTATCTTAAACCCATTTGTAAGCATTGCATGATCAAATTTTTCATGCTATTGCTTAGGTGCTTGTTTTAATCCATAAAGGGATTTACAAGTCGACAAACTTTTTCTTTTCGTCCTGATACTACAAACCCTTCGGGTTGCTCCATATAGTTCTCTTCATTTAGATCACCGTTTAAGAAAGCTGTCTTAACATCCATTTGATGTATTTCTAAATTAAACAACGCTGTTATAGAAATAGCATGCGAATGGATGTTATTCTTGTCAGGGGAATATGTGTCAAAATAGTCCAGACCTTCTTTTGTCTGTAACCTTTAACTACAGTCTTGCTTATACTTGTCAATTGAACCATCTGCTTTCATTTTTCTCTTGAATATCCATTTATATCCAAGAGTTTAGAACCTGGTGGAAGATCCACCAATTCCCAAGTATGATTTTGCATAATGGATTCAATTTCATTATTAACAGCCTTTTCCACAAAGGTGCTTCAGGACCTGTCATTGCTGCCTTAAAGCTTTGAGGTTCATTTTCTAAAGGTATGTCAGAAAATCTGACCAAAGGATTTTGATGTTCTCGCTCTCTTATTCGTCTTGGTTCATCATCAGTTAAATCCTTTGGTGAGACTATTACTAGTCTCTTGTGTTTGATTGTCATTAGTCTCTTGACTTTGTGTACAATCATAAGTTCTTTTCTGTGAACTTAATTCCTGTCCTTCTTGTAAGGAAAGACATGTTCAAAAAACACACAATTCTGACTCTATATAGTGTTCATATTTATATACAGTATTTCTGATTTATAAGTCAGAAACCGATATGCACTACTATTCTGAGCATAACCAATAAACACACAGTCTACTGTTTTTGGTCAATCTTAGTCTTTTTAGGAACAGGAACTTCAACTTTCGCCAAAACACCTCCACACTTTTAAGTATTTGTAGGAAGGTGGTTGACCTTTCCACAATTCATAAGGAATGCTTTGGTTTTCTTGTGGGGTATTCTATTAAGAACATAATTAGAGACAATATTGCTTCCCCACAAGTTCTGTGGTAAGCCTGAACTTGTAAACATGGCATTCATCATTTCTTTTAGGGTTCTATTCTTCCTTTCAGCAATTCCATTTTGCTGTGGAGATAAGGGGCTGTAGTTTGGTGAATAATGCCATTTTTAATCACATTTCAACATCCTTTCTCTCTCCTACTTTTTCGAAAAGGCCATTTGAGAGCTTCTCTCACTAAAACTCAACTTCTCTCTAAGTACTGATCTAGTTAGACTGTTCTTCTATCCTTTGGCCTTTACAAATAGTGTGTTGATCGTCGAGGGCTACGTTTTGTTCCGAAAAGTTTAGAGTTTGGAGCACTTTCAGTTTGGTCCACTCCTCCGTTTGAGCTCTAATTTCAAGGTAGGGATATCCTAATCCATCCTATGAGCTTTGTCTTTGAATTTTGCCAATTGAGGTTTTCTTTAACTAAATATTACATGCAGAGACGTCGCAGATTACGTAGAGTTGCGATTCCCAACAGTCAGGCACTCTCTCTCTTGGGAAGGGATCTTCGTGAGGCGCATCTGCAGGTTCTTTTAGGAGGCAGTGGATATCGATCGAGCAATGCAAATTCATCTAATGCAGTTACTGATCCATTCCTTTCCTCTCTTATTTTGAATTTCCCTTCATCTAAATCAAAAGACATTTTGAAATCCGTGTTATCCAGTGCTGATGACAGTTCCGTTAAGAGTGTGACATCATCGCATATATGGAAAGCAAGGTAGTGGATTATATCATTTTCTATGATAAGAGAGAACCTTCAATTGTTAAGCACTCTATCATTTTGTGGGGTAATGGAACAATTTTCAAATTTTTTTGTCAGAAAATGATTGAAAAAAAAAGTTCTCATTCCCTCCCCCTTGCCCTCCTGCAACCCCTGCTACCTATTCTCCCCTTCCCCTCTAGAAAACACTTTCTGGCCACTCCCCCACAATCACCAAACATGTTTTTTTTTTTTTGAAAACATATGTACCAAACATGCTATTTGTTATTGCCTTTCGCAAAAATAAACGATAACATATTTTTTGTTTTAAGTGAACAAAAAAAATGAAACTGGTAGATTGTGATTCTTGAGCACCTTCATTGCTATCCAAATATGGTTTGTTATTTAAATTTTAAGCTAAATATAGGGTTTCGATAATTTTTTAGGAGAAATTGGAATCATCAAATTACAGATTAATAGGCCTATCCTCTCAGCTAATGTTCCAAAGATAATTTGCGTGCGACTTTTACAAGTTTTAGGAAACATGTGGCTTTGTTTATAGGCTATTGGCAGTCTCCCTAGTCCAGCCTTGGGCATTTTTATTTTTAGGAAAATGTATCGTTCTTACTCAAAAACTTCACTTGTTCTGGATGTTTTTTTAGTGCCTGTAAATCATGTTAGACATTCTGGTTCTTAAATGTATCTTCTCCAAGCAAGGTTAGGTAGAACCGTTGCTGTGATGCACCTAGAGACGCATACTACTCAATAAGTTCTCGAGAGATTGAATTTTCTACTTGTTGAAATACCTATTTTCTCATATTTGATTCACCTAAGCTGATGTAAACATTGCTCTTTTTAAGTCCTAATTTGAACATCTCTCTCTCTTTACTGTGCAGTTTTGATCCATCATTGAGTTATGAAGAGCGGGAAAAAAGGAAGAGACAGGCTGTCGAAAGAGCTGTTTTTCTCCAGGATCTGCTAGTCTCAACTCTGTCAGTATCTGTTAATCTGTTTTTCTGCTGCTGTGTGGCTGGTCTGCTACTCTGTATCTGATGCTAATCTGCTAATCTGCTGTGTATCTGCTGCTGTTTTTGGCCTCTGCTAGCACTAGGTTGCATGCCTCTATTTGATTTGTTTGTATTTGGATTAGGTTGCATGCCTCTATTTTGATTTGTATATGCTGTATCGCTGCCTCTGTTGGTTGCTGTATTGTCCATGCGCTGTAAAAAGTGCATGTAATGCTATACGTACGAAGAAAACTAGCAAAATGATCTGGCATGTCAATAACTGCCTTCTTTTTAAAACACAGGTTGATGTGGGTGTCACATCAGGTTGTAAATAGAGTTTTTGTACAAATTTTAAGTAAGTGAAGCATTTTAATATAATGGAAGAACATTTTCCTTAATTCTGGTTGACCAACTTAGTTGACAGTTCTGGTTGACCTTTGAATGGCTAAAATATATTTGCTTTTAGCTTGCCACTGCTCAATGCATGTGATGTGGAATATCTAGATGATGGCTCTGATTTGATTTAAAAAAAAAGCTTTGGTGGGCTTTGGAGGCCAGCAAAGGGGCCAATTGGTATTTGCAGACTCAAATTTCATCAACCCTTAAATCTTCCCTTACATTTTCAACTTTAGGTAATGCAGTTACCCTCAAGAAGCTCATCAGGAAGGGGATTCCGCCGGTTTTACGGCCTAAGGTCTGGTTTTCGCTCTCTGGGGCGGCTAAGAAGAAGTCCACGGTTCCAGAGACCTATTACAATGACTTGACCAAGGCTGTTGAGGGTAAGGTCACACCGGCAACGCTGCAGATCGATCATGTGAGTTATTGCCTTCGGTGTTACATTGATTGTTTGTGGCATTTCTTGGATTTGATTGTTATGGCATCGCTATTACTCCATTGTGAATGATCATGTTTACTTTGGATTGTTGGTTGGTTGTTTTGGATGAAATGGTTATGGCATTATTGTTCTTGTTGTTGCATTGTTTGATGTTATTTGGATACAAAAGATGAGAAAATTTGCAGTTGGAATCTATTATAACACACTTATCTTAATTATCTTCTCTGTTTGATGCTGAATATGAAATTTCCTGGTTCAGTTGAGTTTGTTTAGTTTGCATTGTATTACTTTTACAGCATAAATTTTGTCATACTCTGCATTGTGTCAAGCGGCCCATTTCAAAGTGCTGGAAATTGTTAGGGCGAATTGGGAAATGCTATTGATTCAAAGGAACATGAATTCTCAAACTCTCCAAGTCTTAGTTTATTAACATAGATGAATTTTATAAGATCAATTTAAGATGTATTTATATGTTTGTCCATTGTCTTTGTTTTGGAATATATCCGGTGTGTATATTGGCCACAGTTAGTATGGGTATAAAGGGGCAAGGTTAGACTATGTGTCCCATGTCCCCCTCATCCCCTGTTTGGTGGACTCAAATGAGGCCAGCTGTGATTGACTGGTTGGGGCGAATAATCCCATGTAGAGGGTACTACTTAATCCCACTCTGGGCATTCTGTTAATGATGAGACTAAAGTGTGGACCATTTTGATTTTTTTGGGCAAATTACATTTCTAGACCATTTTGATTTTAATTGATGTATTTAAAGTCTGAATTGTTTCTATTCTTAGGTATGTAATGCATTGTTTTTTATTTTTAATTTTGTATTCAAGCTTAGTTTATTTATTATTTTAATAAACATTAATTATTAGTTCTTAATAATTGTTTGATAGGTTTTTTTTTTGTTCAATTATATAAAATTAACAAAATCTAAAAATTAAAAAAAAGGCTATGGCGGCGTTTAAAAAACGTCACTATATCCCATCCCAATGGTAAGATTTTAAAAATGTGTAAATGTTTATGACGGCATTTTCAAAAACGTCGCTCCCAACGGTAAGATTTTTAAAATGTATAAATATTTATGACGGCGTTTTCAAAACGTCGCTAAATGTCAGAGTGACGTCACAGTACACTTAAGTGGGTCATTTGGCGGCGTTTTTAAAAACGCCGCCTATAATAATACAATGACGTTTTTTAAACGCCATGAAGTTATAGCGACGGCCACGTCATCGGCGTTTGATACTAAACGTCGCAAAAAGAATTATTGACGTTTTTAGTACCTTTAGCGGCGTTTTTTAAACGCCGCTAAAAGTGAATTTTCCAGCAGTGAATGAAGATGAATTTGTAAGATTATACCCCAAACCATCATAAGCAAACTCCATCAATTCCCCTAAACAAAAAAAAATTAATGATTTTCCTAAAGAACAATTGCAAAAAGTGTATATTATGGATTGTTTGGATTTAACTAAGTAGATCTAACTTAGTTGGGTCACCATGACTTTTTTAAGAGCTTAGTCCCAAGAGAAAAGTCATGGGTTCAATTCTCTCTAGGAGTTCAATCAATTGGAGCATGTTTGTTTTGAGGGATAAGGGTGTGGGATTGGACTATTAGTCTCACCGGACTAATAGTCCATTGTTTGTTTGCAAATTTTTGCTCCGGATAAATAGTCCCCCCGGACTATTAGTCCCACAAATATGGGACTATTCTATCCCATGGGGGGGTGTGGGATAGAAACCATGGGATTGGTATCCCATGGGATTATTTGGTGAAATGTCCATTTTACCCTTATGCTATTACTTAGTAAACAATTAGAAAGGGTAAAATAGTCTTTTGAACATTTATAAATTATTTTTTTAGTGTTGTTAATTTAAAAGTATATATTAAATAAAAAAATTAAATTATAAATTAAATTTAATTAAAAATAATAAATTATAAATTATGGCCTTATAAATTAAATTTTTTTAGTGTTGTTAAATTATAAATTATAGATTACAAATTTAAAATTATATATTAAATAAAAATTATAAATTACAAGGATAAAATAGTCTTTTGAACATTTATCCTTATCCAGTCCGTCTAACCAAACATTAGATTTATTAAAAATAGTCCAATCCAGACATCTAATCCCATGACTAAACAAACATAGGATACAAATCCAGTCCAACTAAATAGTCCGGGAACAATGTATCCCGGGACTAACAGTACGATGGATTACAATCACCCCTTATCCAGTCCGTCTAAGGGTAAGAGAAACTAACTCTTATATGTATTAATCTAACAACTAACAATTGACTTTTGCCCCCAAAAAAAAAAAAAATTCACAATTGTTGCTTATTTATTGTGATTTCATTTTCTATTTTTATTCATTAAAAAAAAATCATTTAGAGAAAATTTTCTAAAAATAATCAACTTATTAGAAGACATCAAAATGCGATTTTTGAGTTTATAATTATTTTCACGAAAAATACAAACTAAATGAATGTCATTTTGCAACGTTTACAATTTATTATTTTTGATTTATAAAAAACATTAAATATATTTATATTTATTTTTAGTATAAATAAAATTCAAAAATATATTTGGACATATTTGTTAAAGATTTTCGTAAAGAAAAATTAGAAAAAATGAAAGCTCTGAGCTGTTTGGAACTAACTAACTCTACTGTTTGTACCTATTTAGTTGTGATTTGATTTTTTATTTTTTTATTTAGCTGTGATAATTTAGTTTGTTAAGTCTATTTAATAATTAAAACTTTTATCGTTTAAAACTTTAATTGAATAAAATGTTGATTAAAAAAATTTAAATTAGCAACATTCTTATTTAATGTTCACTAAATTTATACTTATGTATAAGTACTAAAGTGTACCACTATGACATAACCACCCCCGCCGCAACCATCACCACTACTACTATGCCTACCATTATCTCTACTATAAATGCCATTGTCACCAAAGATACCGTCATTATTTCACTTCTACGACCACGATTGCCTTTGGCACTGCCACCACATTTTCACCACTACTAAATAACCACCAATAATTATTCTTTCTTAAAAATTCAAAATATATAAATATAAATATAATGATGCTAAACTTTTATTCATGTTCACTTAAACATGATTTTCTAAAACTTCTTTATACAAATATAATCATTTACAATTTATAAAAATAAAAAAATTAAATTTGCTGTTGAATTTTCAAATCAAACGTTATTTGGTTAATGAATACTATTTTAAATTAAAAATATGTCTATTTAAATTTAAATCCATTATAAAAACAATAAATCTAAAAAGTTTTGAATTTAAACCGAACCAATACATTAGTTGCAAAAGCATAAATAGTCTTATCATATAAAAACAAACTCTCTGTACAATTTGAAGACAGAAAAACGATAATTCCTTTTCTTCTTAATTTTCTCTCTTTACATTTTTTTTTTTTTTGAACAGCTAAAAAAAGACATTTATTGATGATAAATGGCATACATAATTACATCAAAAAGAGGGGAGGGGAGGGGGTATACATATTATATTACCATTTTCTTTAAATTTTGGGCATCCAATCCAAACTTGATATCCCGTATGCTACAATTATTTATTGTGAATTAGACTGCTATGAATATTCTAAGTTGAATATCAAAGTTGTATGAGTTTGTTTAAACATGTATGGGATGAGGCACATGTGATGTTAAGATAGTGATTTGTGTTGCCTCTCCGAATTCCATAGGTTATCTTCATACTCTCTGTCTCTTTGTTTTCATTTTTTGTATGTCAATATTGTATTATTTTGATTTTGTTTGTTTGATATCCAAAAGAAAAATCTACTATATACAAAAAACTTATCCTCAAAAGTCAATATAAAATTATAAAATTTATTGAAATGAAAAATCGCGTCCACCACACGTAATAAATATAAATGTGTCATATTGTTGTATATGAAGTCTATATACAAACTTAAACCATATAATAAATAAATATACAACACTTGAATGAAGTGAAAAAGATCAACATTAAAAGGCATAGAAAATGAAGAACTATTTGAAAAAGTGTACACCAAACTAAAAAGATTTTAAATGACTAAAAGAAAAAAGGAGAATGAGTCCCCTGCCCTGTCTCCACACTCACAGACGTCAGTCAAAACTTTAAAAGCATCTCATCATAATAGGAAGCAGACCAAAATTTTCAGCAGTACTTCAGTTTCTTTCAAGTGCTTTAAAAACAAATTACTTTTCCTTTTTTTTAAATCTAAACATATTTCATGGCATTAAGGAAGAAAAATGCACCCACATATCAGCCGATATAAGGTATTACATGATAATATAATAGAAATAGGCAGTTAACAGTCTTACATTGCTGTTATCTCCCTAAAATCTCTATCCATTTTCATAAGTTAAACACAAGGTGGTGCAATGAGCCAAACAAGGGCCATTCACCTTAGGAATATGCACTAATAAAGCTAAAAAAAACTTCACCTAAGAGCATCCGAGATGAAGCTCCAAATCCAAATCATCCTTTGGATCACGAAGCAAACCAATCTCCAAGTCCACCCTAACAATCTCTGCAGTCTTCGAAACCGCGCATCCACTTACTTGGGCGAAATGTTCAATTTCTACCCCGAAAAGGGTTTTAGAAAAATCCGTATTTCTGTTGCTCAAGCGATGATGGAATAGGGTATTGTCTGTACCCCGTTTCATGATTTCGCTTGCAGAAACAGATGCAGATGAAGATAAAGAGGAAATAGAGGGAGAGAACAAGGGAGATAGTGTGGAAGTGAAAGGTGTTGAAGGGTTGTTAAGGTTTTGATAAGGGTTAGAGTTAGGGCTAGGGTTAGGGTTTGGGGAAAGATTAAGGTTAAGAAAAGGGTACTGACCATCCCTTGGAGGAGGTGACTGTCTCAACCTGGCTCTATCTCTCCTATGAACATTCATGTGACCACCAAGGGCTTGAGCTGATTTGAATTCCCTTTTGCAGAAGCTACAAGTGTAAGACCTTGGAGGCCATGAAAACCCATTTAGAAAATCTTCACCATGCCTGTCACTTTTACAGCTTTCCCATGAATCCTTAACCCTATTGTTGTTGTTGTTGCAGTCTTCTTTCATAGATCTTCCTCCATCAATGCTATGGTGCTTCAAGTTGTTGCTCAAACTGTTCCTCTCCATGTATGCCTTTTGATTCAGTCAGACCTAGCAAAGATCAAAAAGAAAAAAAAGAAAAAAAGCTCATATCATATCAATTAAAGCAAGAGAAAGAAGAAGAAAAAAAAACCATCTTTCAAAAGTTGAGAGAGAGAGCACCTACAAGAGGTGTTTTCTAATGATATACAGAGGGGTTTGGAGAGAGAGAGAGAGAGAGAGAGAGAGAGGGCACCTACAAGAGGTGTTTTGTGATGATATATAGAGAGGGGGTTTGGAGAGAGACAATGACGAAATCAGGATTTTGTTACGGAAGGGATTGAAAAAAAAATCACCATATTCACAAATGCACCTTACGTATAATATGATATATAAATTGTATACATTAGAAGAAAAAAAATTAAATACCATAGAAGTAATCTTTAATAGGATGAAGAAGTTTTTCTAATACAAAATAGAAATAGAAGACAAGATGGGAGAATAATAAAATATATATATATATATATATTTCTCAATCTACAAGTTTCTCCAATACAATAATTTCCTCTCTTTTGCGCTTTTTTTTTTCCCCCTTTTCTTTTAAATGAGCATACAGCTTTGAATAAGGCTCTCACAAATAATTAGGGATAAAATATCAAAAGCTTAGTTTCAAGCAAGAGTTCTAATGTTACTAGACTAAAAGTCCTTTAGACAGACACAAACAGAACTTGGAGCACAAGTGAAGTTGTGTGGCCAGTAGAGTGGAGTGGGATACATTTTCAGGCATCTTATTGAAGTCATTGGCTACCCCAGATTGAAGGACAGAACTTCCTGATCTCGGAACTTTGAGGAATCTTAGCAAAGTACATACAAAGTAACCTAATGAAATATTAAGGTCTATAGATAAACTAACCAATTCATAAACATAAGCCAAGTCTGTCAAAATGCATGATCCAGCCTGTGACAAATTTAAACACATGAACAAGAGATTGTGAGTATATGTCACACAAATTTAGAAAGAATTAGTTAAACTAATAGTTTTCATACCTTTTGAACAATGTCCAAATTCAAATATTTCATTTGCTCTCGAAGACTTCCAGAAATGCCAACTTCAAATATCTTGTTCACATGTGGGAGTGAACAGATGCTCTATAAGAGAAAGTGTAAAATGGATTATTGTGCCAACTGTACATGGAACAAATACCATGAAAGTGGAAATTTTACCTTCAGAAAAGCTGTCCAATCGCCAGTTGTACATGCAGAACTTGGGGAGTTGAATTTCTTCCAGAAGCAAAAGCAAAAGATTCATAAATTTTAGAATTTGATTAAATACAGATTCATAAAAGAAACATAATAGAAATTTTTTTTGTGCCCATCATTTTGAACCACATAATAGTAAGTGTTCAAAATAACTAGTGGCAATGTGCTACAACTACAAATTTCAGGCAAACCTTTAAATCAAATAGAAATAGTTAATATATTGAAAGTGTGAAAAATTGCTTAGTTTCCAGCCACTGATTCATGTCTGCAGTTACTAATTGAAAAATAAAGTTTAAATTCTTTATTTTGGAAATAATACAAATGTAGGATATAGATAGAAGAAAGAGCATAGATAAGATATTAGTGCACCTTGAGTACGTGGGGGATATCCTTGACCGACTTCAAGGTTTCCCGTAAAGAAACCAACAGTTCTTCAGAACAAAGGAAGAATGATATCTTCATTCTGTTAAAGTATATGAATTTTTGGCAAGGTAGACTGAGGATACAGAATTCAAATGCAGGGGAATCCATTTCTTAGTTCATGTTTAGTTATGTAATCACCCTTTATGGAATAGTTAGAGTTAATTTAAAATTATATATTAAATAAAAAATATAAATTATAAATTATAAATTAAATTTAATTGAAAATAATAAATTAAAAATTATGGCCTTATAAATTAAATTTTTTTAGTGTTGTTAAATTATAAATTATAGATTACAAATTTAAAATTATATATTAAATAAAAATTATAAATTACAAGGATAAAATAGTCTTTTGAACATTTATCCTTATCCAGTCCGTCTAACCAAACATTAGATTTATTAAAAATAGTCCAATCCAGACATCTAATCCCATGACTAAACAAACATAGGATACAAATCCAGTCCAACTAAATAGTCCGGGAACAATGTATCCCGGGACTAACAGTACGATGGATTACAATCACCCCTTATCCAGTCCGTCTAAGGGTAAGAGAAACTAACTCTTATATGTATTAATCTAACAACTAACAATTGACTTTTGCCCCCAAAAAAAAAAAAAATTCACAATTGTTGCTTATTTATTGTGATTTCATTTTCTATTTTTATTCATTAAAAAAAAATCATTTAGAGAAAATTTTCTAAAAATAATCAACTTATTAGAAGACATCAAAATGCGATTTTTGAGTTTATAATTATTTTCACGAAAAATACAAACTAAATGAATGTCATTTTGCAACGTTTACAATTTATTATTTTTGATTTATAAAAAACATTAAATATATTTATATTTATTTTTAGTATAAATAAAATTCAAAAATATATTTGGACATATTTGTTAAAGATTTTCGTAAAGAAAAATTAGAAAAAATGAAAGCTCTGAGCTGTTTGGAACTAACTAACTCTACTGTTTGTACCTATTTAGTTGTGATTTGATTTTTTATTTTTTTATTTAGCTGTGATAATTTAGTTTGTTAAGTCTATTTAATAATTAAAACTTTTATCGTTTAAAACTTTAATTGAATAAAATGTTGATTAAAAAAAATTAAATTAGCAACATTCTTATTTAATGTTCACTAAATTTATACTTACTTATGTATAAATACTAAAGTGTACCACTATGACATAACCACCCCCGCCGCAACCATCACCACTACTACTATACCTACCACTATCTCTACTATAAATGTCATTGTCACCAAAGATACCGTCATTATTTCACTTCTACGACCACGATTGCCTTTGGCACTGCCACCACATTTTCACCACTACTAAATAACCACCAATAATTATTCTTTCTTAAAAATTCAAAATATATAAATATAAATATAATGATGCTAAACTTTTATTCATGTTCACTTAAACATGATTTTCTAAAACTTCTTTATACAAATATAATCATTTACAATTTATAAAAATAAAAAAATTAAATTTGCTGTTGAATTTTCAAATCAAACGTTATTTGGTTAATGAATACTATTTTAAATTAAATATATGTCTATTTAAATTTAAATCCATTATAAAAACAATAAATCTAAAAAGTTTTGAATTTAAACCGAACCAATACATTAGTTGCAAAAGCATAAATAGTCTTATCATATAAAAACAAACTCTCTGTACAATTTGAAGACAGAAAAACGATAATTCCTTTTCTTCTTAATTTTCTCTCTTTACATTTTTTTTTTTTTTGAACAGCTAAAAAAAGACATTTATTGATGATAAATGACATACATAATTACATCAAAAAGAGGGGAGGGGAGGGGGTATACATATTATATTACCATTTTCTTTAAATTTTGGGCATCCAATACAAACCTGATATCCAGTATGCTACAATTATTTATTGTGAATTAGACTGCTATGAATATTCTAAGTTGAATATTAAAGTTGTATGAATTTGTTCAAACCTGTGTGGAGTGAGGCACATGTGATTTTAAGATAATGATTTGTAGTGCCTCTCCGAATTCCATAGGTTATCTTCATACTCTCTGTCTCTTTGTTTTCAGTTTTTGTATGTCAATATTGTATTATTTTGATTTTGTTTGTTTGATATCCAAAAGAAAAATCTACTATATACAAAAAATTTATCCTCAAAAGTCAATATAAAATTATAAAATTTATTGAAATGAAAAATCATGTCCACCACACGTAATAAATATAAATGTGTCATATCGTTGTATATGAAGTCTATATACAAACTTAAACCATATAATAAATAAATAGACATCACTTGAATGAAGTGAAAAAGATCAACATTAAAAGGCATAGAAAATGAAGAACTATTTGAAAAGTGTACACCAAACTAAAAAGATTTTAAATGACTTAAAGAAAAAAGGAGAATGAGTCCCCTGCCGTGTCTCCACACTCACAGACGTCAGTCAAACCTTTAAAAACATCTCATCATAATAGGAAGCAGACCAAAATTTTCAGCAGTACTTCAGTTTCTTTCAAGTGCTTTAAAAACAAATTACTTTTCCTTTTTTTTTAAATCTAAACATATTTTCATGGCATTAAGGAAGAAAAATGCACCCACATATCAGCCGATATAAGGTATTACATGATAATATAATAGAAATAGGCAGTTAACAGTCTTACATTGCTGTTATCTCCCTAAAATCTCTATCCATTTTCATAAGTTAAACACAAGGTGGTGCAATGAGCCAAACAAGGGCCATTCACCTTAGGAATATGCACTAATAAAGCTAAAAAAAACTTCACCTAAGAGCATCCGAGATGAAGCTCCAAATCCAAATCATCCTTTGGATCACGAAGCAAACCAATCTCCAAGTCCACCCTAACAATCTCTGCAGTCTTCGAAACCGCGCATCCACTTACTTGGGCGAAATGTTCAATTTCTACCCCGAAAAGGGTTTTAGAAAAATCCGTATTTCTGTTGCTCAAGCGATGATGGAATAGGGTATTGTCTGTACCCCGTTTCATGATTTCGCTTGCAGAAACAGATGCAGATGAAGATAAAGAGGAAATAGAGGGAGAGAACAAGGGAGATAGTGTGGAAGTGAAAGGTGTTGAAGGGTTGTTAAGGTTTTGATAAGGGTTAGAGTTAGGGCTAGGGTTAGGGTTTGGGGAAAGATTAAGGTTAAGAAAAGGGTACTGACCATCCCTTGGAGGAGGTGACTGTCTCAACCTGGCTCTATCTCTCCTATGAACATTCATGTGACCACCAAGGGCTTGAGCTGATTTGAATTCCCTTTTGCAGAAGCCACAAGTGTAAGACCTTGGAGGCCATGAAAACCCATTTAGAAAATCTTCACCATGCCTGTCACTTTTACAGCTTTCCCATGAATCTTTAACCCTATTGTTGTTGTTGTTGCAGTCTTCTTTCATAGATCTTCCTCCATCAATGCTATGGTGCTTCAAGTTGTTGCTTAAACTGTTCCTCTCCATGTATGCCTTTTGATTCAGTCAGACCTAGCAAAGATCAAAAAGAAAAAAAAGAAAAAAAGCTCATATCATATCAATTAAAGCAAGAGAAAGAAGAAAAAAAAAACCATCTTTCAAAAGTTGAGAGAGAGAGAGAGAAAGCACCTACAAGAGGTGTTTTCTGATGATATATAGAGGGGTTTGGAGAGAGAGAGAGAGGGCACCTACAAGAGGTGTTTTGTGATGATATATAGAGAGGACTTTGGAGAGAGACAATGACGAAATCAGAATTTTATTAAGGAAGGAAATGAAAAAAAAAATCACCATATTCACAAATACATATGTATGTATAATATGATATATAAATTATATATACATTAGAAAAAAAAATTAAATATCATAGAAGTAATCTTTAATAAGATGAAGAAGTTTTTCTGATACAAAATAGAAATAGAAGACAAGATAGGAGAATAATAAGATATATATATATATTGTTTTTATATTAGAGCCTATTTTATGTATAAAATGATATGTATATATATTTAAAATACCAAAATAAATAGTATTTTTCACATAAATAGAGAAGTCATATACCCCATAATCTTCTCTTAATTTCATCCCGAGAGAAAGAGTAGTAATGAGCAGAGGACATCAAATTCTAAGGCTGAAGGTGAAAATTTGATTGGAGAGTTTTTAACCTGCAAAAGAGTCCTACATGTTTTGGGTCACTACTTACTAAATGTAGAACCTTGTTCTGCCATGTCACACCTTTTTGCCAAATCTAGAAATACCTAACGGGTCTTCCCTTTACTTCTCTTTAAATTTGTGTGTCAATCTTTTTAAGTCATAAATCATTGCATATCCCTTATTATTTTATCTAGAGTAAGTGTAAGATGTTGAGGCCTTATTTTAACTAGAAATGCTATGTATCATTGATTTTTTCTTACGTTTATATATTATCATCTACATAAAAATTAATAATTTATTTTCTTGTTTGAAGATGATTATTAATGATTTAATGAAGAGAAATGGTTTTTTGTCACATATTCCGGTGATATAAAATGGTGGAAAAAATGGTGACAAATAGCAGCCATCTAACTTAATAGGTCTTATGAAACTGAAACATGGGGTATCAATAAGAATTTTTT